ATTGTGAGTGATTGATTCATTGATTGGTTGATGGATGGACATCGCCATATACGACAGGGGCCCTTTGCCCTATGTGCTATGCTCATCCGGATTTAGCTCCTTCGTTTCTTTCGACTGAGAGCATACTCGCACTAGGATTTTCCTGCATGTATCTGATCGGAACTGCGACTTCTGCATGCATTCTAATCTACAAGTCGTTTGTCAACAACGACTTGTAGATTTTAGTACCCTTCTTTTTTTTTTTTTTTTTTTTTTTTTTTTTTTTTTTTTAAGAGCGAGTTCCATTAGGAACAGTGACCTCTTCAGACCATCTGGATAAGCAAATGGCCGATTACCGAGGACGACTGTCATACGTCTAGCATCCAACCTCTACAACAACCTGGACTTAAAAAAAAGAGAGAGAGAGAGAGAGAGAGAGAGAGAGAGAGAGAGAGAGAGAGAGAGAGAGAGAGAGAGGAAGAGTTTCAGGAGTTTTCTCGGATTTGCGAAAAACAGCACGATACGCTGTTTAATATGAGGGCGACGTCCTTGAGAGGTCATTATATTATCCAACTGACCAGCCCCAGGTAATCTGGGGCCAAGTCCCACTAGCAGCGTTGAGTTACCTCAACGCCTGAATGTGGATGAGTTTGCGGAGATGTGCAGAAATAACTTTCAGTTTCCTCAACTGCACATCTCCACAAACACGTCCAGATTCAGGCGTTGAGGAAACTCTCAACGCTGCTAGTGGGACTTGGCCCCTGCAGTTCGTTAACTTATCTGATTCCATTTCCATCTGGAGTCGAACTCAGCTCCATTTTTTTTTCTGTTTTTTATTACAAATTTCACTCCTTTAATTAAGTTAGCGTATTTCGACTTCCATTCCATGACCACCGTCCTGCTGATGTCTGTGTCAGGCTTTAGTTGCACTACTCGCCATCCGCGAAGATTTCGAGTGCATCTGGACACAATGATGTCCACATGCAATCAAAATGTTGGCGGATGGCGAGTAGTGCGACGAGGCCCTCAATCAACCAACACCCTTTCTGGTGTCTGGGTTAGCCCATGTGGATATGACTCACCCAGCCCACGTGGCAGTTTGGCACCATCGCTCGACCTCAGGTTCATTCTTTTTTTTTTTTTTTTTTTAACAAATTCTGAGGTCCATTTTCAACAACAGTGGATGGGTCTTCCTTTCAGCCACATGGGCTGGGTGAGTCATCCTTGTCGTCCTAGATACAGAAGAAAAAAGAAATGTGTACTACCCCCAACCGGGCGCTAAAGTCCCACTACTGTCTTCACCCGAATAGAACGCCCGGTCAGTATAGCTAGCTGTATTTTGTGCAACATTCCGTCCAGATACGGCAATAATTACCAGGCGTTCTATTCGGGCGAAGACGGTAGCCGGGGTTTAATCCTCGTCCTTTTTTTTTCCTTTTTTTTTTCCTTTTTTTAAAAACGTGCCCACAGTGCAGTCGGGAGATGTTTAGATTGTGATTCATGTATTTGAGACACTGGATAACCATGAGCGTGTAGTTGACATTGACGTCGGCACCACTACATAGAGATTCTGGAGCGTGTCAATCTGGACCGTCCCCAAAGGGAATAGAATCGAGACAGGCCCGGGCCTGAGAATGGCAAGGCAGGAACTGTACGGTCGAGCAAGAGCTCGTAAGCGAAACAGGCTGACGCTGCCAGGACAAGGGCGAGATCCCACTGGCAAAGAGGATTGTAGTGAGTGTCTGAATGTGGGCGTATTCGTCGACAGGTGCAAAAATTTGTGATTGATCTACATTTCTGCATCTCTGCGTGGAACACGTCCAGATTCAGACTCTTAATATTCCAATCGTCTTTGCCAGTGGGATCTGGCCCTAACTACGGGTGGAATGTGACCCTGAGGCAGAAGTTGTTCAGTTCCGTTTTCTGCATAACATAGTTTTTTTTCCCGGATTTTTTTTTTTTTTTTTTTTTTTTTTTTTKTTAGGGCCTTCCCTGGCCCTTGCACGGGCTGGCCMCCCGGGACCCGGACGGCCCGGCTGGTGGCCTAGAATGGAACTCTTTTTTTTTTTTAGATTTTAGATTGGAGTGGCAGGCACCGGTGCGTGCGAACTCACACTAACGGGTTCTTGTTTGTTTTTCTTCTTCTCAAAATCCGAAAATTCCATTACATAAATCAATAACCGTTAGCTGGGGTTTGAACTTCTTTGGTTTTTTTTTTTTTTTTTTTTTTAATGGCCCAATGGACCACGGATCAGATATATTAAACTGATCAGAACAGATACTACACTTTATCTTAGCCAAAAGGCCGAGAAAGGTATTGGGGGTTTGAACTTCCTTTCGAGTATTTGTCTTTTTTTTTTTTTTTTTTTTATCGAGTATTTGTTTGAACTTCCTTTCGAGTATTTGTTTGAACTTCCTTTCGAGTATTTGTTTGAACTTCCTTTCGAGTATTTCTCAACATGGCCACAGTAGCAAAGAGGATTGCATAAAGAGCCTGAATCTGGACGAGTTTGCGTGGAGATGCAGAAATTTCAGATCAATCCGATTTTCTGCACCGCTCCACAATCACGTCCGAAATTCAGGCATTAAGTCAAATTATATATGCTGCCTGTTGGTAGTGGGACCTCGCCCCAGGGCTTGGGGCCTCGCGCGACGACTCACAACATGTGCGACATGTGCGAAATGCAGAACGTACTACCTTTTTCTGCTACCTTCTTCACCGGAATACAACGTACGGTCATTAGTACTGTCTCTAGACTCAAAGTTGCCCCAAATGCAGCTATAATGACGGCACGTTGTCTTCGGGTGAAGACGGCAGAAACAAAAAAAAAAAAAAAAAAGACGGCAGAACGACAGCGGAACCCTTGGCTTGGGGGATTTTTTTTTCCCATGAATGCATGGAGTGTTTCTGTCCATCGCTATGTGATCTGAGGCTAAGTCCCACTAGCAGCAGTGAGTTTCCTCAACGCCTGAATCTGGACGTGTTTGCGGCGATGTGCGTTTGAGGAAACTGAACGCGATTTCTGAACATCTCCACAAACACGTCCGGATTCAGGCGTTGAGGAAACTCAACGCTGCTAGTGAGACTTGCCCCCCCTGTTGATCATGTCCATTACTCACTACTGCTGCGTCATGAATGTAGTATGTCTGTCCATCATCACTACGTGATCTGGTGATATCCACTGTTCTTCCTTTTTTTTTTTTTTTTTTTTTTTTTTTTTTTTTGGAATGATCTGGTGATATCCACTGTTCACTGCTGCTGTAGAACGACAGTGGAAAGATACCGGGGGCCAAGTCCCACTAGCAGCGTTGAGCTACCTCAACTCCTGAATCTGGTTGTGTTTGTGGAGACGTGCAGTTCAGCAAACTCAACACCATTTCTGCACATCTCGGCAAAAGCGTCCAGATTCAGGCGTTGAGGTAGCTCATCGCTGGTAGTGGGACTTGGCCCCCGTAGGGCCTCGCCGCACTACTCACTAAATGTAAAAAATGAGAATGAATCTGCTGCTAGAACATGGAAAGATTTTTTACTTTTGTGCATTTGGTGAGTAGTGCGGCGTGGCCCATAAGCCCGCCATAGTTGTTGTCGTTTTCACACTTGGTTAGTGGGACAAAATGAGAATGAATCTGCTACTAGAACATGGAAAGATGCACGGCCATCATTTTTTTTTTTTTTTTTTTAACTAAGCTATATTCTTCTCTCATCTATCTCACTGCAACTGGTTAAGTATACATTATTCCGCGAGTGATGAGTTAACCCGGCCGGCGTACCCATATGCTGGAAAAATCCGTGTGACTGTCTGAAAAAAAATAAAAATTATTTGTCTTTTTCTTAGTAGTACGCATCTATCTCATCCTCTCACGAGTCTATTTATAGTACGGGGGAACACCAACCAACCCGGATCTCTCCCCAGCCCACAGGGTAGGTTTGCACCACAGCTGTGGTGCGAGAGCAAGGCTGTACCAGTCCCTCATCACGGTGACGAGGGGTGGGCAGGCATTGCCGATGGGGGAAATCGGCTGTCCTAGCGCCGAGCGATGGCCAGTCACTGCACCTCCCCCTACACCCCCCCAACACCGCCATCATTTTTGACTTTTGTGCATTTGGTGAGTAGTGCGGCGAGGCCCATAAGCCCGCCATAGTTGTTGCCTTTTTCACACTTGGTGAGTGGCACTTCGAAGCCTTGTTCGAGCAGGAAAGATGTCTTGATTTTTTTTTTTTTTTCCCCTCTCTTTTTTGTGGGCCGATGGACCACGGATCAGATACTTTTACAGGAAATATATAAGCCTTGGGCGCGTGTTTGGTGAAAACAATAATTTATTTTTTTAAAATAATAATAATAAAAATCAGATATTAAACTGATCAGAACAGATACAGTAACTGCACTTGATCTTACTTAGCCAATCAGAGAAAGGCATCGAAAGATGTCTTGTCTTGATTGGTCGAGGCCCCAGGGCACCTGTTTCACTATTTTCTTAACTAATTAAAAAAAAAATGATTGACCAACACACTCCGAGTCTTGTGTGGCCGAAACAGTCGGCTGGTTGGCGGGAAACAACTGAGTCGTCATTGCGCGCCACGCCTTTCCTTTTTTCCTTTTTTTTCCTCTCTTTCCCGCCGCGCCTGCCGACTACAGATTGATGAAGATCGTAGCGCATGGGGGGGGGAGAGGAGTTGGGGGGGGGGGGGGGGGGGGGGGCGGGGGAATAATAATAAAAATGTCATTTTTCAGGGTGGGTCGAATTTCACATGGAATTTTTTTTTTTTTAAATCAATGCTTATCGTCAGCCTTGTTGACACGTGGCGATTCCTGCAGTTTTTCTCAAGAAAATAATAGAAACGTAAAAATCAAGAAAAAATGGGAAGAACAAATATGGAAAGAAAGAAAAGAAAGGGAAATGAAAAAAAAAAAAAAAAAAAGAGAGAGGGAAATGCATCATATCTCGCCGCCTCCTTCCCCCCCCCCTCCCCCCCTCCCCTCCCCTCCTTGAATCATGACACGCCGGAGTACAAGACTTACGTGTTCGATTTTGTGTGACGAGGACGGGCTTCGGCGAAGACTAATGGCACACCTCTCGCGCGCTAAGGCAGGGACGTTTACCCATGCCATGAAGCGGCAGGAGCTCCCTAGACCCGTGCGGGAGATGCCGTGCGGCGCTCGTGCGAGGCAGCAGACGCTGCCTTGTGGGACACTGTCGCACAGCACGGCAGCCATCGCCGAGACTGGAGCCGGCCGATGGCCTCGAACGCCGGGCGACAAGTCGGCAGCCAAGCAGCCAACCAGTCAGACAGGCCCGGGCAGGAGCCGGCCAACGAATCGACACGTGGCGGGACCGTAAAAAACGACCCAAGAAACGAATGGATGAGGATACATCGAGGCCGTCCCGATTTCGAAAAACGAAAGTGAAAAAACGAGCGGCTTCTTTCCCAAAAAAAAAAAAAAAAACACAATGGGTGATGTTGGTACAGACGTGGGCTGTTGAATAAGAGACCTGCCTTCGAGTCCGAACTGAACTACCACCTACCGGCCGAACAGAACGCCTATGTGTTATATTCGAGTTTTGGAGAAAACAAGGATGATTCGAATAGAACGCATATATCCGAACATAAGGCTTGTTCAGATAGAACGCCGTGTGCGTTGTATTCGAATAGAAACTAACCTAAGCGTTATATTCGTTTACAACTGGGGGGGGGAAGACGGTAGAAGAATGAATTCCTGAATTACCTAGGGCCAGCCAGTGTCCTTTTTCCATTTCCACTGAATTACCTAGGGCCAGCCAGTGTCCTTTTTCCATTTCCATATGAAGAACCATGAGGCCGAGACTCCTCACAAACAACCCTGAAGTACTGGGGCCATGACCCAGTTTCGGCCGGCTTGAGCTGGAAACACAACAAGAAAGACAATGCCATTCAATTACAAATGAAATGAAAGAACTTGGAAAGAGAAATTGAAAAAAACTGAAGAAGAAAAAACTACACAAGAAGAAGAAGAAGAAGAAGAAGAAGAAGAAGAAGTACACCAGCAAAGACCAATGGCAAATCCCTCTAAGCTTCACTTGGCAACTCACGTCATCCTCCTTGTCTCCCCCATCCTCATCCTTCGATAATTAATAATAATAACAATGAATGACTGAACCAGAACCAATCTCCAAACCTCCGCCTTACTACCAGCAACCAATGAGGTCCACCATAGCCGCGACCTACACCTTCTACCACCTCATACTGGCTATGGCGGACTAGCGGGGCCCTGCCCTGATGTTGATTGGACAACGCAGAAGCAGATACGTCCCCTACTACTCAGGCCGCCTTGCCAAACTCTGCCCTGCAGCCTTCTTGATGCAGCACACCCCCACTGGGGTCTTCTAGGTGCAGCGCCAACCAAGGAGGTGAAGATCCCGCCCACCATAGCCAGGTAAGTACCCCCCCCACTCTCCTCCACATCCCTTCTTCCTCCTCCTACCTGGTCCACTCCACCATCGCCAAAGGTGGAGGGCCAGGCACTCCTCTCTCCCAGCGCTGCCAACACCAGCGCTCCAGCAGCGTGACGCCCAAACTTGCACACCGCAGATGAGGGAGAGCTCTTTGCTCTCCCTGGAGATATACCGAGCGGCTTGCCTCTTGGGCGGTGACTTTCCAAGCCGCTCGGCCTCCCAAGCAACCGGTACCATCCTCCTTTTGGAGGGAAACATCATTGCATGGCTGATATGGCGCGCTACAGACCCTAGACTCAGACTACTGGACTGGTACCTACCTAGACCTAGGCCTGCTAGACTTCAAAATTCGTTCGGCCTCTAAAGGTACTGACTTTTTGTCTCCTTCCACCGGCCTACCGCTACTCAAGTTCAAGTGCGCCCTAAGCTACGTGGGCCTACCCTACCGCTACTTGAGAGTGCTGCAACCCTCAAAGTCACCGCCACAGGTAAGTACCCGCCCGAGGACCTCTCAAACATACAAGTACCCTGGCGGGTCACACACACACTCAAGCAGTCATGCACTCAGACCGGCATGCGGAAACCAACAAGCACACACACACACAGACTTAGAAATCTCATTCGAAAGCGGGAATCTCAGCACGGTGCACAATCCAGCGGCAAAACTCAGAGATCAGCAGAGTTCTCAGTCTGTGATGTTTTGCAGGTCATTACATCTTTCTCTTTTCTCACAGAGTGAACGGCCAGGTGAAAAAAACTTGGGACGAGCTGCTTGGAGTGTGCTTAACCCACGGGATTCTTTAGTAAAAGGCGAAAGAATAGTGTGCAAGTGAGTCAGGCACGCAGCCACAATTGTGAACAGCCTCTTCAGCATAGCCCTTGCTAGTGCTGTCAAATTTCCGATCCGGTCCTGGCTATTCAATCTGTCCAAACCAAGACATTTCTACTAAAGAGTTTGCCGGCGCTGGAAATGAGTCGGAAAACTCCTCCGCAGGACTCACAGGAAAGGATGGATCTATCCCCGCAGGACTCACAGGAAAGGATGGATCTATACTTGTCCACTCGTTGAAATGTGATTCGACCCCTTTTCCTGTTCACGGCATCCCATTGAATAACTCTAATTGCCGTTGTTTTTTTTTTTGTTTGTTTGTCTGTTTGTTTGTTTGTTTTTTTAAAGTAAGCTATATTCTTCTCTCATCTATCTCATCTTCTTGCGAGTACTCATCTATCTCATCCTCTCGCTAGTCTATGTACAGTACGGGGGAACACCAACCAACCCGCATCTCTCCCTAGTCCACGGGGTAGGTTGGCACGTTGGCACCACAGCAGTGGTGCAAGAGCAAGGCTGTACCAGTCCCTCATCATGGTCATCAGGTGGGCAGGCATTGCCGATGGGGGAAATCGGTGGTGCTAGCACCGAGCAATGGCCAGTCACTGCACCTCCCCCTACCCTTCCCCAACCCCACATGGCGGCGGTGTCTAATGGCCAATATTGTCCCTGCATAGCAACCAACAACATCAGCTAAGGTCCTGCGAATGCTGGCTTGGGAGGCCAACGGGTTATCTCTAGCTGGTAGAACACCAAGCTTGCCCAGGCACGTACGTGAGACCAATGGGGATTGAACCCACAGCCTCCTGAAAGCAACTTCTGCACCCTACCAACTGAGCTCTGCAATACAGAACCGTTCTTCAGAATTTGTTTGTTTTTATCCTTTCTCTTTTTTTTCTTGTCTTTTCTTTTTCTAGCAGAATGCTCCATTCTATTGATTGGGAGCTGCACTTGCTGGAAACCAGGTAGAGAGCATCCAGTAAGAACGCAATGATTACTGAAAAGATGCAACTCATCACCCTCTCATTTCTGCTAGATTTGTTCTAGATTGCAGCCTCGACCAACTAGTCTATAAACTCAAACACACGGGGGACGACTACAGCCCTGACCACTGCAGCTCTCCCGCTCATCAAAGTGCCACTCCTCGAAGCCACCAGTACCAAGAGTGTAGCTCAGTCGGTACACCCATGAACTGTTGAAATACAGACCGGTATTCAAATCGAGATGATGGAAGTTGATGAGTGAAACCAAATGTTTCTGAATTGCTGGGGCTGGTAAGCTCAATGATGATATCTGAAGGCCGTCACCCTTTTAACAAAAAAAAAAAAGTATTTTCTCAAAGCACATTACAGTCTTCCCCCGAATACAACGTACGGTCATTATAGCTGAATTTGGGGTATCTTTCAGTCTAAATACAGCTATAATGACCGTACGTTGTATTCGGGGGAACAAGGTAGTCTGAAAACTGCATAGATGACAGCACTACTTTTTGCTCAGAAAACTCGGTGAAGACTGGCCGTCTTATTTATTGCACAGCTCTCCCCTCGATGGTCATCATCCACGCAACCTAGCTATTCAATTCCCGTGCAAAAATATTCTTGGGGTAACTAGGGCGCAGTCACGAAAGCAGTTTGTAAATGCATTTCGAACAGTTGCAAAGCCGAGTTCGCAACTGCAGTCCAGTCCGGCATGTGGCTTTTTTTTCTTCTTTTTTTTTCCCTCGGATGCGGCTGAGGCTCCACTACTCTCGAAATGTGCAAAACGAGAGTGAATCTTTCGCTAGAACATGGAAAGATGCACCACCACGAGGCCCCAAGGATGACATGCATAAGTAGGGAAATCTGAGAAGGAAAAAAAAAAAGAAAGAGAAAAAGAAAAGAAAAGAAACTGGGTTGTTGTCAGCACGTGTATCCCCTAGGGCCTCTGCGTTGTTATCAGCCCGTGTATCCCGTTGGGCCCCTGTATTCATGTTGCACAAAAGACACAAATCATGGCGCTGTATCTTTCTTTCTTTTATTTCTTTTCTTTTTTTTTTCCCCAAAATTGAACTTTTATTAACAGGGCCTAGTGCCCAAGGCAATTACGTGATCAAGATAGTCAAAAACAGGGACGACAGGTTGTCCTGCCCCACCAGGAGCCCGGAGCCCCGAGCCCCATCCCTGCATACACAGTCTCCGCACTCTTTACCCTAACGCGGCACCAGCCCTGCTACGAAAGCAGTCTCTAATCCCACTACAAAAACAGTCCCTATTCCCACCTACCCTGTCACTACACTCCTTACCCTAGCACGGCACCAGCCCTACCACGAAGACTATCTCTATTCCCACCCACAACCAACTATGAAGTAAAAACTACCAGTTCCAGATGACAGGAATTTCCATTGAACACTAGCCAAAACACACGACACATCATTTCGTAGCACCAAGCACAACCAGTCCGGAGAATCGAAGACTCCCCCACACAACTCCCAACACGGGTATCCAAGCATTTCCACGTCATTACCCCACCGCGAACCAAATGCCGGTGACAGAACAAATTAGGGTCGCACACCTATCTTAATTCCAATGCGTTCGTAGTTCAAGCTCGACATCGTAGAAAACACCACCCGCACACCCCATCTCCCACCAACCATCGAACTAAGCAGCAGCAACAGAGTGAAGTAGGGTTGCGCACCTATGAAATCAGAAGCCATTTTGTTCGAGCAAGGTATATCTAACCCAAAGCCAACATCAACCCAGGGACAGGCATGACAGTGCCCCAAATACCCAGGAGCCATGGAAAGGACACACAGCGGCACACATCGAAAAGGGTAATCCTACACACTAGACTAAAAGACGGAAAAGGAAATCCTACCAAGCACATAAGCTAAAACATGAGTAGCAAAAAGCGCCGGGAAATCCTTCAAAACACAGAGGCCAAAACAGGAAGAAGAAAATCCTA